TGCATTGTCTTTGAGTTGTGCGCCTTTTAACGTCATCTGGTCCAACACCATGTGGGACGAGGCTCTAAGGAAAGCTGTCTCGGGTGTGGACCAATCAATTTCAAGGACAGTGCATACATTATCAGAGTTGTGTTTTTTTTTGCATTCCGACTGCAAGTATTGTGGTCAATGCGAACATGACTCCTTGTAAAAAAAAGGTGTCAGTTTCGTTGCCAGATAAAAGGGTAACAAACCAATTATCACCTTGTGAAAGACCCAACGCAGAAGATCCCTGGGATTGATAATCCACGAAACTCATGGTCCACCCTAAATCGCATCCACTGCACACACCATGGCAGATGCGGATACCTGACGCACAAATGGGAAATTCCACGTGTAACAACGCAATGCCCGATCTACAAATAAGAAGGAGACATTACAGCGAAACACTCTGCCGCTACGGACGTGGTTATCTGGCTTGACCACTGAATGTGAAATTGTAGCTGTTTCTCTGCGCCTACATCAGCCGTACGAAAGAAGAAGATGAATGCCCTTTTGGACCCATTGTCTTTTTGGCATGAGACCCCTATTGTGAACATGAGACGTTAGCCCCCAAATTGTGAACATCGTGGTCACAAAGATAAAAACAGTCGGTGGTATGCGTCCGATTTGAGGCTTGGTCGACGTAGGAAAAGCTCAGGGCAGGTTGAGGTTCACCATTATTGATGTCGATCGATCTTAAAAATCGAACCCAAGCCACCGGGATTGTCAGTTTGCAAACCAATGCAAAACACTTGAGCTCACACACACACACACAACACAAAGAAACAAGATCTCCCACATCGCCTTCCACAAGACTGTCCGGAAAAGTGCTGTTAGCGAGCACCTATTAAAAGTCGGACCGGCGCATGAGCAGGTGGTGCGGAAAATACCACTCCTAACCACCTTTGTCTTCCCAGTGCTGGTGTTGTTAACGTGCCACACTAGGTACTAATCTAAAGCCGAGTCTACCTTGGGAGGCCCGGGACAAGTTCAGCAGTTCCTTTCTGCTGATGTTGTTATGTTTGGCCGGGAATTGAACTCTGGTGGCTCGGGTTTTATCCCAGCAAGCAAAGCACTGCAACGCCTTTCCCGACCAAACACTGAAAACTCTCACTCACTGCAGGCAAAATGTTGCAAACACGAGATTAAAAAAAATTGCTTCACTTGAAAACTAAGTTATGTTGACCTGATAATGGATTGTGCTTATGTCAAAGTGCCCATCTGTGCGGACCACAGACATTCATATTTTTAAAGTAAAACGTCTGCAGATGGCAGAGTTTTTGCGTGTGGATAATTTGTAAATCCACTGCTGGATGATGGCCTCCCCACACACTCTCTTGGTCGTGGGGATGTTGGCCATACTTTTTCACGCTGGCCAGCACACACTGGCACACATTAAAGTCTACAAAGACAAATATCTCCCCGTATAGCCTTTAACAGGCTGTAGGGGCAAGTGCTGTTAAGCGAGCACCTATTAAGGCCGTCACGGCACACGAGGGGGTGGGTGGCCAACACCACGCCCGGCCGCCTTTGTCTCCCCCAGTGGCGATGTGTACACACCAGGTACTCATTTGAGGCTAAGTCGACCTAGGGGAGGCAGAGTACCGGTTCAAATAATGGTCACGGGTGTTGGCCGTGAGCGGAAATCGAATTCAAAGACACAAACACGCAACACTCACTAACACACACACTCACAAACACACACAAACATACACACACTCACACTCACTAACACACACAAACAAACACACCCACACTCACAAACACCCACACTCACACACACAAACAAACACACCCACAAACACACACAAACACCCACACTCACAAACAAACACCCACACTCACACACCCACACTGACACACACCCACACACTCACACTGACACACATACAAACACCCACATTGACACACCCACACATGCCACAGACTGTTAGGGCAAGCTGTTACCGTACACAAAGACACACACACAAACTGTACAGCCACTTACAGTACTGGCACACCACACCTCAATAGGTGTACACCCATACATTCCCACAATGCTCCACTACACACACACACCCTGTCACCCGAACAACTCCTCTTATTCACTTACACACACATGCCCATGCAATTACTATACACACAGACGAATATCATTCGTGTAGCCTTGATCAACAGACCGCCAGGGCCACATTGTTGTGAGCGAGTAAAAACATCTCTGAAGTCACACGCCAGGATGGTGTTGGGGGTAGTCTCAACCACGCCCGCCCGCCTTTGTCTCCCCCGTGCTAATGTTTTACACACCGCACCAGGTACTCGTTTTAAAGGCCGAGTCAACCCAGGGGTGGCTCAGGACCGGTTAGAATATTCGCCACCGCTCCGTGCGTACACATAGACCTACACACAATAATATACACACACAATTACTGTTGTGTGAAGGGTTATTCCACACACGCACCTATATACAAGCACACCGACACACGCGCATGAACACACGTATACACAATACATACACACTTCACAGATACATACACAAGATTTCCCATATAGCCTTTAACACATTGTTGAGTCCAGAGCTATTAACAGGACACCTTATGAAGAGGTAACACACAGAATCAGAATCTTTATTTATCCTCGAGAAATCCGATGATCTACAAAGCTCTTTTGCACAGATGTCCGCTAGGGGGCGTGCTGAGAAAGTTACAAAACCCGATAGGATGAGTGCAAAGTACAGGGAACACACGAACACCCCTACACACAGGTACAGGTAACACACACAGGTACAGGTAACACACCTGCACACAGGTACAGGTAACACACCTGCACACAGGTACAGGTAACAGACACCTACATCACAGGTACAGGGAACACACGAACACACAAGTACAGGTAATACACGAACACACCTACACACAAGTACAGGTAAAACACACCTACACACAAAGGAAACGCATAAACAGTTACACAGAAACACACGAACACGCCGACATACGTGCACATATACAAAACATAACATGGACACAACAGCCGTAAAGTGGCGGTGACGTACGGCGCTTGTGCCAGGCTAGGTGCATGTTGAGGCCGTCTCGGGAAGTGTGGAAACCACGGGACAGACCAAGGTGTTAACTGGCCGAGATGGCACAGAAACTACACACGAACACATGCGCACACACACACACACCTCTACCTATACACACAGACAAATATGCCTTGTATAGCCTTAAAATACTGTTGGGGCAAGTGCTGTTAGCGAGCACATACACACCACACACACACATACACGCGGTTCAACATGCACACCACATACACACACACACCTACTTACACACCACACACACACATGCACACGGTTCAACATGCACACCACATACACATGCACACACACCTACTTACACACCACACACAGAGACACACACACCTACTTACACACCACACACACACACACGCACACGGTTCAAAATGCACACCACATACACATGCACACACACACACCTACTTACAAACCACACACACACACACGAGTTTCAACATATACACAGGCATGTCACACCACATACACATGCACGCACAGACACCCACCTACACGCACACACCCCTACTTACACACCACACACACACACACGAGTTTCAACATATACACAGGCATGTCACACCACATACACATGCACGCACAGACACCCACCTACACGCACGCAAAGATCCTACCGCAGGATTGTTGGGGCAAGTGCAGTTAGCGGGGACCTGTGAAGCACGGCACTTCAAACACAATACAAAGATCCCCCGGATAGCATTCGCACACTTTTGGGGGCAAGTGCAGTTAAGAGAGCACCCTACGAAGTCCGGCGCGCCACACACAGAGACACAGAGACACACAGAGACACAGACACACACACACAGCAGACACACACACAGAGACACACACAGAGACACACACACAGAGACACAGACACACACACACACAGAGAGACACACACACAGAAACACACAAACATAAATAGAGACACACACACAGACACACACTCACAGAGACACACAAAGACAAAGACAAAGATCCCCCGTATAGCCTGAACAGACTGTAGGGGCAAGTGCTGTTAGCGAGCACCTATGAAGGCCGGAACGGTACACGAGGGGGTGGGTGGCCAGCACCACGCCCGACCGCCTTTGTCTCCCTAGTGGCGATGTTTACACACCGCACCAGGTACTCATTTAAGGCTGAGTCGACCTAGGGGAGGCCCAGGACCGGTTCAGATAATCGTCACTGGTGTTGGCCGTGAGCGGGAATCGAACCCGGGTCGCCAGGTTCATAGCGCAGCGCGCTAACCGCTACACTACCGCTCCCCACAGAGACACACACACACACAGAGACACACACACAAAGACACACACACACAGAGAGACACACACACAGAGAGACACACAAAGATAAAACAAAGACAAAGATCCCCGTATAGCCTTAACAGACTGTAGGGGCAAGTGCTGTTAGCGAGCACATATGAAGGCCAGCACGGCACACGAGGGGGTGGGTGGCCAGCACCACGCCCGACCGCTTTTGTCTCCCTAGTGGTGATGTTTACACACCTCACCAGGTACTCATTTGAGGCTGAGTAGACCTAGGGGAGGCCCAGGACCGGTTCAGATAATCGTCACTGGTGTTGGCCGTGAGCGGGAATCGAACTCGGGTCGCCGGGTTCATAGCGCAGCGAGCTAACCGCTACACTATCGCTCCTCACACACAGAGACACACACACACAGAGACACACACACACAGAGACACACACAGACACACACACAGAGACACACACACACACACAGACAGAGACACACACAGACACACACAGAGACACACACACACAGAGACACACACACACAGAGACACACAGAGAGACTCTCTCACACACACACACACACAGAGACACACACACACAGAGACACACAGACACACACAGAGGCACACACACACAGAGACACACACACACACAGACACACAGACAGACGGTCACCTGTATGGCCGTGACTACGTGGCACGGGTTGAGCAGGAAGATCAGGGTCCTGGTGGCGAACTTGAACCCGACCTCGATGCCGAACGTGAGACACAGCGCGGTGAGCAGGAGGCTGCGGGCTAAGCTCCCGTGGCAGCGAGGGGTCTTCTTCGCTCCATCTCCACCTTGGACGGACCCCCTCCCTGCCGAGACGATTCCTCCTCCTCCTCCCGCTGCTGTTGCTGCTGCCGCTCTTCTGGGGAGCGGCGCGTCTCCGCGCTGCCCCAGGTCCCCCAGGCACATCCTCACCCTCCTCCACGACACCCACATCTCGGCCAGGGACACGCCGAGCACGAGGGCGCTCTCCACGATCCTCTGGCCGGGGCTCAGGAAGGCGGCGCACGAGGCGCCCCCGTTGCCCGCGATGTCCGGGTTGACCCCCCCGTAGGCGACATCGAGAGCGCCCCCCGCGATGCTGCGCAGCGAGCCCGAGGAGAGAGCCAGGAGCCACGGGGTGGCCGCATCATCACCGACACCACCGACGCTGCCGCCGGTGCCGTTCACCGCCGCTGCTGCTGCTGCTGCTGTGGCCGCCAGCGCTGGGTCGGGTTGTGCTGCCTGCCACGGGCAGTGCGGCAGCAGGGCGAGGAGGCTCCACGCAGCCTCCTGCTGCTGCTGCTGCTGCATGGCGCGTGCGGGGGATGTGTGTGTGTGGAGGGGAGGATGTGTGTGGAGGGAGGATGTGTGTGTGTGTGGAGGGGAGGGAGGAGGTGTGTGTGTGTTGCGCGTGTGTGTAGGGGAGGATGTGTTGTGTGTGTGTGTGGAGGGGAGGAGGGATGTGTGTGTGTGTGTGGAGGGGAGGGAGGATGTGTGTGTGTGTGTGTGTTGCGCATGTGTGTAGGGGAGGATGTGTTGTGTGTGTGTGTGTGGAGGGAGGATGTGTGTGTTGTGTGTGTGGAGGGAGGATGTGTGTGTGTGTGGGAGGATGTGTGTGTGTGGGAGGATGTTTGTGTGTGTGGAGGGGAGGATGTGTTGTGTGTGTGGGAGGATGTGTTGTGTGTGTGTATGGAGGGAGGGTGTGTGTGTGTTGCCGGGAGGGTGTGTGTGTGTTGCCGAGAGAGTGTGTGTGTGTTGCCCGAGAGTGTGTGTGGGAGAGAGGATGTGTGTGTATGTGATTGCGATGGGGGAAGATGTGTGTGTGTGGAGAGAGGATGTGTGTGTGCGTATTCGAGGAAGTTGTGTGTGTGTAGCAGGGTTGTGGACGTGTGGTTGTATGTGCGTGTCGTGGGTGCGATGATGTGCCTGCGTGCTGCGCGAGTGTGTAGGTGGAGGATGTATATGAGTGGGTAGGAAGATGTGTGCGTGGGTAGGGGAGGGTGTGTGGGTGTGGGGAAGTGTGTGTGTGTGTCCGTATGGAGCGAGTGTGTGAGGGTTTAAGTGTGGGTGTATTTTGTGACATCAAACACTCCACCTCCTCAACTCCCAATGATGGGGCAGTCGTGGAGCGAGTTGAGAGTTCATACCTGTCAACCCCTTATCAGTGCCTACCTGATTTACAAACCGCGTGCCTTTACGAATCTCAAAGTTCATCCTACAAAGTCCCATCACAAGGCGAAACACAAACAAATAGAAAATAAATGGTTGCCCGTATTGAAACGGCTATACGCCTTATAGATGGGTTGACAGGTATGAGAGTTGTCCTTGCCTGAGCAGTGTGCTTATGACCAGCTTCGGTTTGACAGCAGAGATCTCACTCCGAATCTGTCGAGCGGCATATTTCATCAGCTGCGTAACGCTGTGTAGAAGCTACTTGGTCTGTCGCTCCACACGAAGCTTCGGGTCTTCTCGGCCACAGTCATGCCCTTCTCTTCTCAATGCATGTGAAACATGACCCCCTCTAATGGAACATCTGCATCGGTTAGAAACATTCAGGCTGACCTGCTTACGATCCATCCAAAGCCTGATTGTGTGAGGAGCTCACAAATCCTTGAAAGATCTGGACACAGTCCCATAAGTGAGCTCCTCCGGCGGGCAAGGCTCTGTTGACTGGGGCATGTAGCCCGCATGTCCAGCCACCGCATGCCCAATCAGCTTCTGTTTGTCCAGATAGAGGAGGCTAAATGGGTGCGACACGGGCTAGAGAAGAGATGGCATTATGTGATACGAGAGGAAAATGACTGGTACCAGCGATGTCAAGATCGGTCTCCGTGGAGGAGGCTCGTGAAGACTTCACGTGGCCTTAAAGTGCACATAGCCTGGTACAAGCGCCGTGGTAACGTCACCGCCACTGGTTGTTGTTGTGTGCGTGTGCCGTATGTCCTGTGCGTCTTAACGCCGTGAATTCCAGCGGGGTCTGGTCGGGTCAGCGACCTGGAAGATATCTCCGCACCCGGCACACCACATTTAGTGCGACTCTCCATATGGCTGTGGCTTCTGGTCACCTGCCTATTGCAGTCCACCACCGACCCTGAAAAATATTCAGCGATAAAATTGCGCGCGCACATGTGTTTGTCTGTCAGTCTTGTGTGTCTGAGTGTAACTTTACTTATGTCCTAAGTGTCTGGAATGTGTGTCCTATGAATGGTAATAAATGACTATATTTGGTATTAGCTTCATTCTTATGGCGCCGGGCTATCGGGAAGGAAGACATTGTGTTTCACTGATGGATATATGCTGCCGGTAGGGAATGACAATTGCTGCGTGGAATCCCAACTGAGGAATTTAGCTGTTTTTTTTTATTCGGACCATGACGCCACCACACAATGGTTTACTCGATTCGAATGACATCAGGGGATGTGTAACGGCCACTGTGACGCAGTTGGCGCTTCGTACTTTACAGTTAACTCACACCACAGTATTTACCGGGGCCGCCTGCCAGATTCGAGCCACGTATCTCTGCAACAATAAGCAATCGCGCTGTTACTGGGCCATATCATGTGACCATCCTGAACTGCACGAAGCACTAAGTGACTGTAGTTTGTACAGAGCACGTGTGATGTATCCATTGCATCTGCAGAATATTGCGTCATGACATTGATACAAATCTCATGGCAATGATATGTATCAGTATTTACCATGTCCCAAGGTTTTCTTAGTATCTACAGTACGACAGTGTATATTGCGTAACGTGTCCATCATATACTATGCACAATTGGACATCTGGACATCTGTGAAATTTTTTCACAGTTCATCGGATTCCTCCAGTCTAAATAAAGATTCGGATTCTGACAATTGTTTTTATTTGTGTGTACGCCGTTGTGCTCAGAGTCTGTAACTTCCCAATGCTGACCGAAAGGCCTCCCCCATTGTCCTCCATTCTTCCGTTTCCTTCGCTGTTCTGTCCAGCCGTGGCCAGTGGATAACCCCCCCTCCCCCCCCCCCATTGTTAATCTCTACTTCTACGTTCCCGCGTCTGTTCTCCTAGAGTGGTGAAGTATGGTCAAATGCCCCCCCCCCCCCCCATGATCCGGTTTGGCCGAGCAAAGCCTTCATCCAGCAGTGAACTGACAAATGAGTGGCTTGACGTGTTTATGTAATTTAACTGCTATTCTGATCATGGCCACCACCCAAACACGGTCCGATCCAATTACGCTAAACGTGTTTGTATGTGCGCTTAATTGAGGGCAGCGGAAGACCCTCGCGTTTTCCCACTAAACACATCGCGACGTCGTACATCTCACGCGCTATGTGCAGCGCACACGACGCAGCATTATACAGAACACGCACTAATTGCTCACACGCGCGCGCGCGCACTAAATGATGGTTGCCACCTCTGAGCAACAACAACAAAACAAACGGGACGTACCATTGGAGGAGGAAAACTACATGCCACGAACTGAAACCAGGTCTGATGGGCCCTTATTCTTTGCCATGGTGCTGTGGCTCAAATGAGGCAGCTCAAAGCCACGCTTATAGCTTGAGCATGTGTTTCTTCTGGTTTGACCCGATTTTTTTATTTAGTATAGATTTATACTTAAAATTTGTTTTAATCTGTATTGTATTATGATTGTTATTGGGATCAGACATCGAAATGGAATGTTTTGCACTTTTTGTACGCAGCATGGACGGGTTGTGCTTTTTCTGTAGGATGTTATTGTTTACGTATGTGATGTTTAGATTTGTGTACAATGAATTTTAGGTGTATCTTGTAATGTTATTGTTTGTTGCGGTTGAACCCAAATCAAGAGCCGAATGGCTCACAGGGTAAATCCTAATAAATTAAACTGAAACTGAGCCGGCTTTGCACATGGCTCCAACCATGCTAAGGATTTATTTGTGATGAGCTTGAGCCAGGATTTTTGGAAGCCATCGAGTGGCCCAAAGCCTGAACTGCGCCCGAGTTGTGAGATTCTGAGCCAGATTCTGAGCCGTGACTTAAGCATCCGGCCTTGCGTTGTTTAATATTTCGAGAAGACTTAACTACAACCATTCCTTATAGAGGAAACACATGCTAATTAGCTGATTGCTAATCTATGATGTAATTACAATAACCACTCCCCGCCTCTGATCTCTGCACCTGATGGGTTCACAGTGGTGACGTCGTCTTGCTCTATGTAAGAACTGAATCAGGAGGAATGCTTCACTGATCTGGCAAATCGCCCGATGATGCTGGTTGATGTAATTACCAGCGAAACGCCGCACGACTCAAATTGTAAATGTTGTGGGTTTGCTCTCCAACACACCGGTAGGCTGAAGTAGTCACTAATTGTCGCGTTGTTTACGTGACAAACCTTACTGGCTGTGTCGGGTGGTGGAGGGTTACGACACATTTATATTTATGCGATCTAACCCAAAAACCTTTCTTATGAACTACCTTGTGTCACACATAAAATAAATGTATTGCAGCGTACACTGTATTGTATATCTACAGTATTTTTGTGCTTTAGGGAAACAAAAACGTTTTGATTTTAAGTAGTTTCGATATTCGTCGTCGCACCTTTCAGGAACGCATCCACGACGTAGACCAGAGTATCACTCCACTTGTATGTACAGCAGCCAGTTACAGGGCGTCCAGATGAAATCGGTGATGTTGCTTTGTTTGATGTTTAAAAACGAACGCACATTAAACACTTTCAATACACTCGACCCTATAATATGATAAAGCAATGTACACGGGATGCAAAGCTTCTCAACAAGCCCACACATGGACTGGTGCTATACGTTCAGTTGTGTGTGCACTTTAAACACTGACTTAGGTATGTATACAATGCGGAATTGTAAGACAACAGATTAGCTTCTAATGCTGCATTTGGATTTTTACTATTAAAAAAAATGTTGTGTTCGACCAAGGACTTTGTATGGAATGTAAATAAGAAACGTGGCCTCAATGGACTCTCACCTCGTGAAATAACTCTGTTAGCGTACAAAATAAACACAAAGTAAGAATTTACAGCCCTTCCTCAATCCACGGCTGCATCAAGGACTTCCCGTGCATTGTCAGTTCTGTGGCTTGTCTGGACATATTTCACCACTCTGGGCAAGTGTAACCTGGTCGCTTCTGAAAAATAAGCTAATAGCTCAGTGGGCTTTACCTGGTAAGTAAAAAAAACCCAAGAGTTTAGGTGTATTTGTATATGTTTTCAAGTGAAAATTCCTTGTCTGTGCGAACTTTCATGGCGAATAAAACCCTTTCTGAACTGAACTTCTGAACTTCTGATTTGTTTTCCTTTCTTATACTTTGCCCTCCTGTCGTGTTTTTGTATTGTTTGTTGTTGGAGTAACGTTCTGACCCGCCTCTACTAGACATCTGCGAAAAAGAGCTTCATAGATCAACGGATTCCTCCAGTATAAACAAATATTCTGATTCTGGTGAAGGGGAAGCCCAGGAGTAGTTCGGATATCGCTCATCGCTGATGTTAACCGTCGCCAGGAATCGATCTTTGGTCACCATATCCAGTTGTTTAATCGGTATCCATTTGGATCTCTAGCAGAGCAGCAGTACAACCCTTTGTGTTAGAGAACAGGCCATGGAAGCAGACATCACAGGGTGACCTCTGACATAGGGTTGTTAAAGTTTACCGGTAAACCATCAACCGCTACTGCTGTAACATTTGCCATTTCCTAAAATAGACCCAAAAAGCACAATCCGGACCTATTATGTGTAATGATTCACTGCCCTGTTGCGCCTTTGATGTAAATCCAGCGGTGATCCGTGGGCTGGAGAGAAATCATCAGAAAATAGCAGGATTAGCAGACATTTTCTGTTTTCTGTTCACCCTACGCAGACATAGCTCCTTGTTTCATAGATCACCAATGCTCGAATCCACCCCTAAGCAGCAGTAGGTGTTTTTATAAGTTGCCCAATACAGTGTCAACATATGGAAAAGGGTTCATATATCAATTCACACCTGTTCAACTCACACTTAGATAAGATGCGATTTGCACTTTAAAATAGTA